TGAAAATTTTACTCGTCAAACCTTTTTATTTAATAGCCATGTCAAGAATTTTGTGAAAAAATAGGCAATCCATCTTACTGCGACCGCCATATTAGATTGATTTTTTTTTCTTTCTATCTTACTTATGCACAGCCACTTCAATAAATGACGTAACCTCTGGGACTTTATGCTTTTTTTATCCCTAAACCGTTAAAACCCTACCTTTTAGCGGTAGTTGTATTACGGCAAAATAAATGACAACCGCTACGACTTCATGCTCTCCTCATAATAACTTGCGTTTAAAAGCGTTTCATATTCACCATGACATTTTAAACGCTTCAAATTTTTAGTCTTACAGCTCGCTAAAAAAATATTTTACTAATTTCCCGGCGCATTCGCCATTTTTTAACCACTTAACATAAAGTTCCTCATATAGAAATACCAGCTGTTACTACAGTCATTATTTTAATTTGTAGCTAATGAACAATTGTGGACAGTCACTGTTATAATGCTAAATGAAAATGGACCAGAGTATTTAGGGGTAACTAAGAATGGGCAGATTTTGGTATGGGCAACGAGGTGAAAATTATTATAAAACTACTTTATTTTCAATAAAAATGTTTTTTCATAATTTTTAAATTCTGTAGTTCAACTGGTACTGATTAATATATTTAGTTAAAATTACAATTAATTTCAAGAACATAGCAATTTTATTGCAACAAATTAATTTGTAAAAAATTAAATGACAATTTTTTGAATAAAATAAAATCTACAAAAAAGTTCCCATGACATTTTGTAAGTATGATGGTTTTACCGGAAAAGTAAGAAAAACTTCATATTTACTATAAATTTAACTTTAGGCTCGATTAACTTTTCAACGAGTATATTTATCATTAAATAGTTGGAGGCCGTATTTGTAGAGCGTTTGATTTTCTATAAAAATATGTTTGGTTCATTTCAGTCCATTGATCTGTTTACGAGTTATATAATTACAAAATCAAAAACAATCCTTTGTTATTTAGTATAACAGCTTCTATATTATTTTTTACAAACTTTAAAGGCATCTAGGTAAGTTGGGTTCAATAGACTAATTTTGAACCAAAGAGTATGTGGACCTACATGTATTATTTATTTTAAGAAAAAAAGTTATTTTTTTGTTAATAAAAGTTATGCCTTTTATATTTATTTTTTAATTTATGTTTATTATAATATAAATGTAAGCGGGTCAATTTCAAAAGTTGTTGTAAATATAAGAATTTAATATAAGAATTTTTTTTGATAAAGCCCAAACTTGTATAGTCCCCCAAACTGCTTTAGCCCAGGGCCCACAAAGTAACGGTCCGCCCCGGTAACTAAAAATAACGAAAAGAATTACATCACGATGTCTGGTATGCTATTATACAAGAAACAAAAATAATTTAGCACTTTTTAACAATCTTCCACTTAATTTAAGGGATCATCCGGGTAAAAATTTTAAAAATAAAATTAAGGAAATTTTAATGCAAAATTCCTTTTATTCATTCGATGAATTTTTAAATTTCAATTTTAATATCAGGGTCGTTTTCAAAAAACACCCCCTTCCGCTGTCCGTAAGTTTGAATTCCAATAACTTTGTTGTGAAACACACATTTTCGCATGTCCCATTAGCGTTTTATAAAACTTACATACATGTTTTTTTTAAATATTGAATAACCAGAACTTTTTGTTGCTTTATAGCAAACCATAACATCCTTAGTTAATAAAGTAAACAATTTATATACAGGGTGTTATGTAATTAATGTTATATATTAAAATGGGTTGTTTCTTAGGGTCCATAAAGTACGCCATTGATCGACTAGGAACTTTAGGTTAATCTGGTGGATTTATTATGTTATGGTTGGTAACAACAGTGTTTCCAAAATTTCTCAAAAAAGTTGACAAACATCGTTTAAATTTAGCTTAATTACAAAAATGACAAAATTAACAATGCAAATTGTCAATTTGGCGTTTTTATTAATTGTTGGTTATTTCATTTTTGTACTGAAGGTAAATTCAAACAAAATCTGCCAACTTTTATGACAGAATCTAGTGCATTTCTTTTAAATTTTAGGTTATGTTTTCAAATTGTAAATATCTTAACTAAGGGAAGTGCTTTTGGATTTATTTACACAAATTAAATGTTTAAAGTTTAACCTGTGAACTGGTCCCAATTTCATCTGAGTAAACAGAGAAAAAAACTGATGAAAAAATTAATTTTGTGGTTATGGATTTCAAATTTCAAAGGTACTAAATTTTCTAATCATTGCTTAAGCTAATAGCTGGATCAGTAAATAAATACAGAAGGGTATTAGAGCTTTAAGGGCATAACACTTTTGTATTTATTGAGTTTTTATTTTTTGCAAGAAAAATTTTTAGTAACAATTTTTTACATCTGGCAACGCATAGCTACTTTATTGGTTGGTATCTATGTACTCACAAAATACAGGTGTGCAGAGATAAACAAGTGTGTAACCAGTGGCGTATCACAAAAAATATAAAAAACTTCTAATGCATATTTTTTCTTTATCTTTGGAAAAATGTTTTTTTAAATATTTTTCCTTTATTCCTTATGTCAAAAGGTATTCAGTATTTTAATATATAACATTAATTACATAACACCCTGTATAAATTAATTAATTTTAATCTACTTTTTTTTAAATTTGACTCATGTCCCAGACATTTTTTCCGTTGCGTTACATCCGTCGCGTTACCGATAGAATATTTTAAAAAAGATATATATGTTCGGACGTACACATTACCCAGCTGAATTTATTTATTCAATCAGGAAGAAGATATCGGTTGAAACAGGTGCGGGTAACGCGAATGTAATAATTGTTTGTCCGCTAAGTTACTCAAAAAAATAATAAAAATAAGGTAAGAAAAAATACTAGTTTTCATAGGGCACTAAAGCTCATTGAGAGTAATTAATGACTATAATGTTTTATTATTATTTTTTAAATATGGTTTCACAAAACTTTGTCCACTGCGTTACCGAGTCCATTACGTTACCTTATGGTAACGCAATGGAATTTAGGGTAACGCAATAGAATTTTTCGAAAACAAAGTGGATATTTACCGTCGCTTTTATTAAAAGTAGTTTATGATAAACCAATTTAAAATTATTTGTGATTACAACTCATGATATAGATTACATCCAAGGGAAAATTCCACGCAATATACAAGTACTAAAAGACACCAGCTTATAGTCAAAGAAAAAGGCTGTCTATAATTTAGAAATCTAAGTTGTTATCCTGCAAGTGAGCACCACTACAAGGGATTTTGTTTATGCATTACTCTAAAATCGTACCACCCTATATAGTTTCTTTTTTACGTTATCTGATTAAGTCCTTTGTGTACCCCACAATGTGGGTAAATCCATTGTGATACTAATGTCTATTTCGTTACTTTTTTTAGTTTTTGTTAAAAAAATCCTTAAAATGATTTTACTATCACTTGGTAATACCTGTTTATAAATTAGAGTTTAACTCAGTAATACAGTGACTAAAAGAAAATATTAATGGTATTGTTTTTTTAACAAAGAATAGAAATGCATTTAAAAATTGTATGCCTTTTTTAAATATTTATGTTAGTTAAGTTACTTTTTAAAAGACACCATGGTGTCTTTTAAAAAGTAACTTAACTAACATAAATATTTAAAAAAGGCATACAATTTTTAATAAAAAATAAAATTGGAGTCAAAAGTGAACTAAGTACATTTTATTTCAAATTATTTTTATAACAACATTTTTTATTGAATTAAATTTTGGATTTCAAATTGGTAACACAGTGGAGACATATAAAGCTAGCTAAACACATTTTTCTGAAAAAAACGTAAAAAAAATTTAAAAGCCGGTCTTAAATATAGGTAAACAAAACTCTAAACATTTATAAAAATCCAACCAAAAGTCAATTTAAGCAAAAAAAATTTTGATCTTCATTTTCCTGAAAGCGGGTGTTTCTTGAAAATGACTCATCACCCAGTTATAATTTTTCTCAATTTATATTTTAATTATTTACTAATTTTATTAAGTTTGCAAATCTATTTTGTAAATTATTAATTATATTTTTAACCTGATTTGTGTAAATACTACTTGTATATAACATAAATAAAGATTATTATTATTAAGTGAACAGCAAAAATCAAACGTAGGTACTTGATTTCTTACATTTTTACCAAAATACTTACATTTCCTGCTTTTTCAACCAATTTTATTAAGAAGTAACTTATTTCATTTTTGACATGTCAGGCTTCAACGATACTAAAAACATTTGTTTATTCACCATTGGTTATGTATTAAAAATGGCGACAGGCCAACTAGTATCGCAAATACTTTCAAAAACTCTTCACTTTCATAATTATTCTTATTATCTTAAATATCTTATTAAATTAAAATACTTATAAAATGATGAAAAATAGTATTTTTAAAATACTAATTTGCTAACTCAGGAATGGAAGCATAGCCAAACAAGGAAACCAAGTCAAAGTGCAGTGTGAACTGTGAAATTTTACATATTTGATAAATGATTTTGTACGTTATAATAATATTAAAATTATACCACAGATATTTGTAAATATGATTAAAAGTTTTTTTAGTTACAATCTTGATTAAAACTAAGCATTTTATTAGACTTAAAATGTTCCTAAAACGGTAAATTCGCATCTAACTGTAAAACTGCACTTTATTTTTTACATTATTTACCTATAATAATAATATTAATTATAATAATAAGTTATAAGTTAAAAATCTAAAAATCTAAAATGCAATACGCATTTTAGATTTTTAACTTGCATAGTAAATGTTAAGAAACATTTGTGCGTGCTTGAAAATAAATATAATAAAAGTATGACAAAACATACCAAATATAAATAACAAAAATTATAAAACATGTTTAAACTAACTATAATAATTTAACACATTTTATCAAGGACATAAAAAAACACAAAAAAAGATGGTTAATGAAAATATATGTGCACAAATACAATAATATTTGTTTTCTTCCAGGCTACGACACCCCAGAAAAAGTAATCCTAGTATACAACGGCCTGGGCGCTTGGGGCCAAAAATCCGGATCCGGAAGCTTCCACGGATGTCCGGTGAACCGGTGCACCCTGACGGACGACCGGAGCCGCGCCGCCGACGCCAACGCCATCCTTTACAAGGACCACTTCATCCATCCGGGCGTGCCTCGGCCCACCAACCAGGTCTGGATCCTGTACTTCCTCGAGTGTCCCTATCACACGCAGAGCATCAAGTTCGCAGACGTTATCAACTGGACAGCCACGTATCGACGGGACAGCGATCTGGTGGCGCCCTACGAAAGATGGACCTATTATGACCCCCAGGTAAAATGTTTTTTTATATTTTTCACTCTAGTAAAGATAAAGTACTGAGCAAGTGAACGCATCAGTAGACATATTATGTAGGTACAAACTGTCAATGTGATAAGGCGTTTTTTATATTTTTAAATACAAGTATTTAATACAGGACAGGAGCTTGGGCTCAAGTGGCCCCGGGTCAGAACAAAATAAGGGGGCCTCTTCAACAAATTTTAATGTTTAAAGGACACTAAAAAATACTATTTTAGGTAAATTTACATACGAGGTTTGTTTAGAAAGGAACGCGACTTTTCTAATTCTTGTGTTGTCAAATTGGTAGCCTTACCAATGTTTAGTCTCTTTGTCAGCTGTCGTAAAAGTCTTGGTGCTATTAGCGATTTTTTAGACTTCTAGAACTTAATCTTTTGGATAGCTTTTCAGCGATGCGCTTAGTATTAAAGTGAATTGGAAAAAAGCGCTTTTAAGCGCTTAAAAAAGTGTGTAATATCTAATGTAGAATACTTTTAAAGGGGATATCATATTACCCTAAAAATTAAAATACCAGTTATTTCACACCTCGTATATATTATTAATAGAGATGGGATTTTAGATTTATTACCTATTTGTCCACGCTAATTAATGTAATAAAATCCGTTTTAAAGAAAATTATTTCATTTGAGCCGGATTTTATTTCACCCATTTCACCTAAATTCTTATTTTTAACAACAATGAACCAAATTTTCAAATTTTACCATCAAAAACAAGCTTTTTTGTAATATTGGGGTTGTCGTATTCGGGTGACATAATTCTTATGCACCATGTAATAATTTTTGTTGTACAGAATTGGTAATGTGAGTTGGTTGGGAGTGGTTGGTACTGGGAATCACATATAATGCACCCATTATCTTTGCTGGGAATCGCGAACAGCGACGCGAATGTGACATTCCTGTGCAATGTTGCCAGGTCTCATGCTTTAGCATCCAATCAATCGCACGTTTTATTTAAAAATCTCGTGTATTATCACAAATTCCAGCAAATTTGTGCTTTTTTGTGAGAAAGTATTTTTAAAAACATAATAAGAATTTCTTATTTTATTATAATATTTTTACAAGATATTTTCGTTATTTAAGAATTTTCTCACCTAAAACAATAAAAAACGTTACCTATTTAGGTTCCTACCCATTTTTATCAATTTGGCAACCTAAAATCCCATCTCTAATTATTAATTTGTGATGAAAAAATTTTAAATTACTATTAAAACTCAGTTCATTAGTTGCAATATTACATATTAAACTTTTAATTTATAAGATCATTTCAGCACTCTTTTAAATCCAGTGTTAAAGTCCCATACAGCCAAGTATTAAACTCAATTTTAGCCAATCAGCATAAAACTCCTGCTATATCTTAATATTTGGCCATTTGTAGGGATATGATAAAACCCGTATGTGACTATCTGAATAATTGAGTAAATTAATATTTACTCAACATTAATAATATTTTGTATTGTTTACCGTTGGATTATTGTTGCATTTTTCGGTGTACATAATTAGCGTAATTATTGCAAATACGCATAAAGTTATGTTATGCATATAATCAACGTTTAAAAAACAAACATTTTTGTACTTAAAACAATGGTAATTCCAACAGTAGGTATTTATTATTAAATTTTTAACAGTTGAATAGAAACTTAGTTTACATATCCCAACATAATTTTTGCGTTGTTATATATAAATATATTATATATTAGGGTGGTCGTTAAAAATTAAATTCTTTCCGACGCCCAAAAAAATCCTTCCTTTCGACGAAAAACTGAGGTGTAAAAACTTTTTTTTTGTTTTCATAAATAAGAACACGTGCCGACGGCCAATTGAAGTTTATTTTTCGATAAAATTCTAGTTTTTTTAAAATATCTCTTACAGAATTTGGTTTTGAGAAAAATTTGTGAAAACAATTTTGTAGGAAATTAAATTCTCTACAAAAAAGGTTTTCATAAATTTTTCCATAAAGGCTGTGCCATTTCAAAACCTAGCAACCGACATCTTTTTAAAATAAGGGTATTGTATATAACTTACACATTTATGTATTTGATAGAATTTAGGTTTAAGTATCAAGTGATCAAGTCTTTCCGATTCTCCTAATAATGAATTAAAACCAATTTCCCATTTGTAAAAGCTTTTACCATAACGAATTTCATTTTATTCATTTTCATTAAATATTTAAGCACATATGTGCTAAAAACTATTTTTGAGCAAACACAACCGTAAAGGTTTTAAAATGGCCCTTTTAAAACGTGCCTTTAATGAACTAAAGGGTCCATGTTTTTATAAACAGGGCATCATAATACATTAAAGCTAATAAGAGCATTTATGTATATGGGGCATTTCACGACAAATCGTCGCTAAATTAAATTTTATTCAAATATTCTTGCATATGAGTTTTGTAAGTTAATTTTAATTGTCTGGCATCTTAATAACTCTTTAAGACCAAAAACAAAATAATCTGGGGGGCGCTTCTTAAAAAAAGTTAGTTTTAATAAAATAAATTAAAGGATAAATAAATTATTGACCTTCTTAAATTGTAATATAAATAAAAACTATAATTTTGATTTCCCATTATTTAATAAAGAAGACGGATGTTAGTTCATGTGACCACAGATTATAAAGGTTGCATGTGACGTTTACACATCTTAACTGTTTCATTTGTAATTTAAACTTATTTTGAAATGTCGAAAAATACATTAAAAAAGGCAGGAACGCACGATCAAAATCGTGCAAAAGTTTGCTTATTTTGTTTAAAAAAGGATAGTCGTTGTAGCAAAACCAAATTTGCGAAGATATTTTCAAATGGAAAAGTTGAAGTTATGATAAAAACTATCTTTGAATATTCGGTTTCTGATGAACGATTGCCAAATGCTATTTGTAGTGGATGTTCACGAAAGTTATACCGGATAAAGGGTGGAAGCTAAATTTATCACAATTTTATGCAACAACACAATATTTTACAAGATCTACTAGTCTGTTACCTTGTATGTGCAAAATTTGTTATATTGCAAGGGAGCCTTTGTTCAAGAATGATACTAAAGCAAATATTTAGACGCCAATACTAATATAAAGGATGAAGTCTAAAAAATTCAATTAAATTTTACTTTCCAGGGTATAACCGTGTGGATGATAGACGTTGCAAACGCAGTTTTAAGAAATCAAAATCAAAAGTATGTAAATCAAATCAAAGTATCAAAAATTATGCAAAACCTGCTTTACTTTAATCGCAAAAGGGCAAAGCGATAAGTGCAACAGTTCCAGGCAGTTTTTAATCTACAATCAATAATGCAACAAACAATTCCAAAAAGAAGAGATCAAATTATTGCAACTGTATTAAAATAAAAAATAAAAGAAATTAAAAAACATGAAAAGAAATACACAGTGGCTTTCTCTCAGTATGCTGGTAAGCCATTGAGAATCTCTGTTAATCCACCCAACAACGAAAACTGTATTAAAACTCCCAAGATTTCTGTAATTGATATTCCGAAAATTCAAACAAGCTTTAACCTGACTCAAAATACAATGCTCGGAATAGCCTCAATGATTCGTGTGGCTAGTTGTAAAATTAATTGAGCCTAATTTATCCGCTATTCAGAGCTTGGACGAATTTTTTGAGGTAAAATCGTTTAATTTTATAAATATGAAAGCTAACAACGTCTCAAATATTAAACAATATGTTGTTTATTGTAAAAATTTGGACGATAAAAAAGAGAGTAAAATATTTAAAGTGCACCTAAAGTTTGGCATTGATGGGGAAGGGAATTTCTTAAAACTTTGCTTGTCAATCCAATCAAATTAAACTGTACTCGGCAAAAATATAAAGAAGGGGTCGCCTTGAAAAAATGTCAAGATTCTGGGGTAGACGCTTTTTATCAGTCTTCTCAAGAAAACTATCAAAATGTGCTTGTTATGGTCCGCAATTGATAATTTACTGGTACAATTGCGACCGACTTAAAGCTTGCTAATGTTTTGACTAGCATCATGAGTCACAGTAGCCTGTTTCCCTGTACTTGGTGTATAGCGAAAGAAAATAAACTTAGCGAACGTGCTCTAATTGCCGCAATGCAGGAGGGTTGACAAAATCCGCAAAGAAGTATTTCAATTGCGTTATATGCCAATTTTTACAGGAGGCTCTAAAAAGGGTATTATGAATATAATTCCACCGCCTGAACTTCATTTGATGCTTGGAGTGGTAAACGCAATATTTAACCACATGCTTGTTAAATTCAAGACAAAAACTTTGGCATGGGCAAAATCCTGCATGTTGAACGCCAGATAACTAACGGTGGCTCGAGATTTAATGGAATTGCTTGTAATACATTATTGGAAAAATTTGATCTTTTACGAGCAACATGTCATCTCAGTTGTTTTAAATTTGTCAAAGTACTAGACGACTTTCGATTAATTGTAAAAGCCTGTTTCGGTTCAGTTCTTGATCCATGGTTTAAAGAGTAAATCGCTAATTTTAAAGAGTTATTTGGATTTGGAAGTTTCGGTAACACCTAAAATTCATGCGATTTTTTATCAAGTGAAAGATTTTTGAGTAAACCATAAGAAAGGATTGGACTTTTACAGTAAACAAGCAATGGGATCAGTTCATTTTGATTTTAAAAGTATTTGGTATAAATACAAAGTGCCCCCCAATCATCCAGAATACTCTCGCCATGTGTGACTTTAACTTCACTAAGAAAAATAATAATAGTTAATTATGTATTAATTTAATAAGTATAATAGTAGTACATAGTAGGAGCTTTATCAATATGCCCCTTAATTAATATCATCAAATACCTCAAAGGTATTGGGTTACCATTTTTTTAGTTTTGTATTTTTTATTACCAAGATAAACGATGCCAGACAATTAAAATTAGCATACAAATCCCATATGCAAAAACATGTCAATTTATTTCAGCCGCACCGTGGTCGACTTTTGAACCCGACCCCTGTTGATTTGGCTAACATTTTGATAATTTGTATTATCGCATTAAAAACGTTTCTGCGAATTTATTCAAATTTTACCTAACCAAAAAATTTTTAAAAAATGTTTCCATGACACTAAGTGACTTTTTAAATACACATTGACAAGTTGTGGCTTCATGACCTTTTAGTCACGGGCTGAAGTAGGTTTTTAGTTGTCAAATGTCATACAATAGTTAAAATAAAGTGCCATTCATGTAAAATAATACTAAATGTAAAAATTATTTTATTATCTCAATACAACAATACAAAAGTATCAAATAGCTTCTCAACGCCAATATTTGAAAAGTTTATATGAACATTGTACCGACTTTTTAATTTCGCCGGCAGTAAATTAAATTTAATATATATAAAATATTTGAAATTTTTTATTAGTGTTATTTTTGATCGCTGATATCTTTGAAACGGTGATCTGAAGAACTTTGACCTTCAGATGTTTTTTGTAGAGCGTGAAATTGTCTATAACTCCTCTCGCAAACCATTCCAAAGTTCCCTTCAACACCATTGGAAAAAAAATATTTGTTTTTTTATATAAAAATATAAGCCTGTAAAGGGCCATTTCAAGACCTTATCACGACAGACCTTTATCAAAATTAATATTTAAATTTAAACATTCCTGTAAAGGCCCAGTACAAGAAAAGCTTTGGCTAAAAATGTTTTCATTAAGTCATGAAACTCTCTAATCATTACAGTGTAATGGGCTATTACATAATCAGAATTATGTGTTTGCATTAGTCGAGGTATTACCTACCTACTTATTTCAAGGTCCCACCTATTTAATACGTAACTTTTTTTTTGTATAATTAAGTTATTAAAATACCGTTACAACAGCAAAAGCTTGATCCGTTTAAAGTGCGTGCGTAGGAAATAGAAAAACAAAATACCAAAGTTGCCGGCAGTAACAATTAACTAAGACTTTGTTTAAACAAATTGATTTGCAATAAAAAGATTTTAGGTTCGCGTGTTTTTATAAAATAAATTTAATTTATTAATGTGGCATCACGAAAACTAGCACTTATTACATTTATTATACCGATGAAATAGTATTTCAAATTATGCGATAAGAAATGTTAACATAGAAATAACTTAAAAATACGTGTATTAATCTATTTCACGAATTTAATGATGGTTTTACTTTTCACTGCAGACGTGTCAGTAATAACAAGTTTTTTAATAAAACGAAATTTATTGATTAGAAGTGGTTTACGATTTCAAAGATATTAAGCTTTTGATAACTTTTAATGAGATTTTTAATGGCCTATTGATTTAAAGAGTTTTAATGTTAGCGTTTTTAAAGGTTAGATAAGCCCGATTGATTTTAAATTGTTTTCTGAACTGTTTTTATAATACCTGGTGGTTAACAAAGCTTTTATTATTTAAGATGTAGATAAAATATTAATAAGTAATATTTTTTTCATTTAATTTTTCTTTGCTATTTTGGTTACTGAAATGTTTTTTTATAGACAACCTATTTTATATTAAAAATATAACAGTTTTAAATAAACAATATAAAATATTTCTATGTATTTATTATTTTTTTTAAATTAAGCTATTTTAAAATGGTTTGTACTTTTTTTGCCTGGTCGATTTGAGATGGAAAGGCCCGTATACATTTTTCAACAAAACTTTTGATAACTACTAAAATATAATTTTTAAATTGTTGTGATTCTAATAACTCAAATTTATTTAAAATTTATGTAATGCATTAAATAATGTTCTTTATCTTTAAGCGTTCTATAATTTAAGCTTTATTATTGTCAACGCTCACTACCAAAGTATTCGATTATCTCCTAGACTGTAAAAATAATTTAGACCAATTAGGTGAAGTTTTTTACAAGCTAGTCTGTAAAAATCGATAACTGACGATAGCTCTGAGCTATATAACCTTAATAATTGTTATTATAATTGTAAGAACGTTTTATGTATCCTTTAACAAATAAAATTGTACCTTGAAGATAAAATGTTGTATGCCATTCGGCTTAGAGGTGTCTTTTTGTACTTTGCTCAATTGTAGTCCTCCGCTAACCCATCGGACTTCAATCTTTGAGCTCAGCACAAAGTAGAGGTGGCAAGTTTGATTCCGATTCGTTCAAAAAGAACGAATCATTTAAATGAACCGAATGAATCGAACAAAGTTTCTAAAAGAATCAATTCTTTTTTTAATCATTTTTTTTAAATCACGATGAGCGAACTAAAAAGTTAATCAAACCATAAATGGCATAAAATAAATATAAACTTGGTTACAGGCACTGAATTAAATGCTAGGTTCGGATCACGCTACGTCCTTCGGCAAAATTTCGGTCTTTTGAAAATCTGGTGATATTTCTAGGGATATTTCAGGAAATTTTCTGTCAAATATCAAAATCTTTTGATTTATTTATTTTGTTTTTTTATGTAAGCTGTGATGTTATTGCACAGGAAAAGCCATAGGTTAATTTACACGTAAGCAAAATAAAAATCGAATCCAATAATTTAATAATACAACCGTTGATTCATTTAACGATACAACCAATACAAGTCATCATTACAAACGATTCAAGAACCAAGTGAATCAGTCGCGAACGAATCTTTATGAACAAATCATTTTACAAGAATGAATTAATAATCACCAAAACACAGTGTCCCTTAGCAAAAAATAGGTATTTCAAAAATGTCAACGAAAACCCTTTATATATTCCTTTTATGGACTATCTGGCGGAACCAAAACTAGTGTTGGTTAAATCAAAGCTGATCGGAAAACAATCTGTTGGTATTCTTCTTACTGTTTTACCAAAATTCAAGTTTTTAAAACTGGTTAAGAATAACTGTAAAAAAGGTGGAAAGTGACAATACAATAAAGTAGGCTAGTGTCAAAATGACATCTTGAATGTTCGAAACCGTCATTTAAAATCCAGCAAGAAAAAATCATATACAAAGACTATTAAAATTAAAATTTAAATTGATAATGCCGAAAGAAGCGGACCATGAAGAAAATCGACGAAAAGTGTGTATATTGTGTGGTTCTAAAATCGTATTTGGGAAGTCCAAAGCGTCAGTGTTTAACTTGACAGAAAAATTGCACAAGCTTATTTGTAAGTATTCGGATGCGCATAAATTTGATAAAAACGACTCAAGATATCCCACGTCTATTTGTGGAAATTGTCGCCTTGTTCTCTTTGATAGAGAAAAAAATGTGTTCAAGAGAAATTTCCCCGTGACTCCGCAATTTGACAAAATAGTCTTGCATGCTAAAACTAGAAACACCACCCGAATATGCAAGTGTTTTCTGTGTCAAACAGCTAGACACAAAGGCCACAAAAGTTCTTCAGTAGTAAAAGTAGGAATCATGGGCCATAAGGTAACAAATCAAAAGCAAAAATCCGAGCCAATATGTCAAATTTGCTTTCAAAAAACCGGAAAAGGAATTAGGCACAAATGTTCTAAAACGTATGCTCATCGAAATGTTAAGGACATTGTAGAAAAACTCCCAAAAAAACAAAAAGAGCATGTTGTAGTGTCTTCGTTGAAATCCTGCATTGATGATCAAGCAGCCAATTGTGGAACATCTACAAGCAGCAGCAGGTACCAAAACGCAGAAATAAAATTATCCACATGCGGTTCAATTGCTAGGATTGTTATTAATCCGAAAATGGCTAAAGACGCATTTTTTTCTGAAAATAATTTAGACAATTTCCAATCAAACACAAGTTCTTCTTTAAACCAAATGGAAACCTTAACAAACTTTATTAGGTCATGCGCAGGAAAAAATGCGGTTCCGGCTAAATATCGTCTTCATGCAAGTGCAAATTCAAAAATGTTAAGCAGTTTTTATAAACATGGTTTATACGAATTTGACATCAATGAAAAGAGGGAAAAACAAAATCGGGCTATAGTGTGGGCAGATGCTGAAGAACTGGTTAAGGCTGTTATTGAAAAAAGGAACTATATTGGAAAACCTGAAATTAAAGTTATGGCTGATGGAGGGCAAGGTTTTTTAAAATTTGTTTGACGATTTTACCGGAAAATTACTCCTCTGTGTTAAATAAAGGTTTAGCTGGAAACCAAGAAATAGTAGAAGACGAACTAAATGCAATGGATCAAGGTAAACGATCTACATATGCAGAAGGAGGAAGAGCAGGAAAAAGAGAAAAACTAAGTGGAGTAAAAAGATTAATAATTTTATGCATGGTCCCTCAAATAAAAGAAAGTTACGACAATATTAAATTTCTATTTGATCTTACACAAATAAACAAAATTTCCTTCAAGTTTGTTTCGGACCTAAAGGTGACCCTCCTCGTCAATGGATTTCAGACAGCAACTGCAACGTACCCGTGTCCTTATTGCTATGTATCACTACACGAACTAAGGTTTCAAGATAAACCCACAAATGTTGAAGATCCCACGATGTGTTTAAGAACTTATGGAGACGTTAACAAGCATTTCGATAAATTTTATTCTCTAGGCAAAAATAAAAAAGTCGCTAAAGAATGTTTTAGCACCGTAAATGTACCTATGTTTGAGGAAGAAGATAAGACCTTTATTATTCAAAAATGTATTGTACCAGAATTGCACATTTTGCAAGGCTTTGTAAATCACCTATTTTGGGATGGACTAGTACCACACTGTTCAAAATCAAGCCTTTTGAAATACCTAATCAGAATTAGTTAAGGAAAAATAAGGTAATATGCTTAAACGAGTAAAGCAATTTACCTTCTCGTTTATTAGGCAGAAACGAATGCCTTAGTTCTATGGTGTATTCACTAACTTCTAGATAAATATTCATACTTTACTTAATAAACTTGTCAAATTTAAAAAGATAGGCAGATTACCTAAATATTTAGTCAAAATCTCAATTACTTTTAGGTACGACAATTTTGCTTTTAATTTAGGTAATTCTTCTAAATTATTATGGAAAATTATTGAACTAATTTAGGTAAATTCCTTTAAATATTAGTGACTTACTTGCAATCGGCTACGATTGCTAATACTGACGTTTTACGATAAATATTCGCGCCTATATTGTCCACCATAATGCCAAAATCAACGAAAGCTTAAAGACCGCGTTGTGTGCTATTGAAATAATAACATAGTTAACAATTATTGTGATATAAGTGAACATTTTGTAGTGCTATAGTTAAGTATTCCAAACTAAACGGAATTTCCCATTGACCCTAATATATTTTTAAATAATCCCAACCCTGCAGGGTTGGAATTATTTAAAGGGTTCCGGTACTACATGTAGTACCGGAACCGCCGTTGTTAATTCGCCTAGGACACAAAGATAAAGGAGTCCTAAATTCCTATGCTAGGATTTTCACTAAAAATATATATAATTTGCCTAAAAACTTAGCTAAAATCTACCTAAAAATTTAAGCAAATTGCCTTAGAAACAGGAAATTTATTCTTTTATTCTCAGGCAATATCCCTTACGATCCAAGGTGTATTATCTTTGAAACCTAAGTAATTTTGCTTAATTAATTATATCATTTTCTTTAAAAATATCAGTTAAAGAATTCACTAATTTAAAAGGGGAATATTCCTCTGAATTCATTTCAAGCAGTTTGCCTTTAAAAATCAATGGTCCTATATAGTCTAATATTTTAGGTAAAAATTAGCTAAAATTTTGAACAGTGCACTCGTGGGAAGAGAAGAAGCCCTTAATTGGCCAAAAAAACTAGGACTTATATCAAAAAACTATCAGGGTGAAATTTTTGAAGGAAATGCATGCCGAAAGCTTTTAAAGAATTCTGATTGTATTCTCGATATTAAGGTCATTCGTGAAAAAGTTAGCCCTTTACAAATTGTTCCAATAATATCAGCATTAAAGGCAATGAACAAAGTTGTTGAAGATTGTTTTTCTAGTCGCGTTGGTCAGGAACTCAAGAAGAACATTGTCCATTTAAGAAAAACCTTTAAAGCCACTGGAATTTCGGAAACTTTAAAAATCCACATCGCTCTTTATCATCTTGAAGAATGCCTAAGCTATCTTAACGATCGGGGTCTTGGATTATGGTCAGAACAGGCGGGAGAATCTCTTCATCGAGAGTTTTTAAAATCATGGAGCAGATATAAATTAAACAATGTTAACGACCTTAGATACGGTGATTTTTTGTTAAAAGCAGTTGTAGAGTTTTCTTCTACACATTTGTAATTGTAAGTTGTGTTAAATTTTGTTATTTTTTTATTCAATTAAACGATTCTGAAACCTTAATTTAATTTCTTATTTATCAAAGGTACTATAATATCATCAGCATTAATAAAGAGATAGCAAGAAAATAATATTCATATTTAAAATAAATTATAAGGTTTATATCCGATCAGCTTTGATTTAACCGAACTTTGTTTTGGTGCTGCCAAATAATCCACAATAAGTATCCATAAAGAGATTTCGTTGACATTTTTAAAATACCTATTTTTTTCTAAGGGACACTGTGAAAAAGAACCGAACTTCCCACCTCTAACACAAAGAGACTCACTTCTTAGCCTAAAGCCGGTTTTCCACCAAACGGACAGTTGAGTTTGGGTTTTGTTTGTGTTTTTAAAAACTTGCAAATCAAAAAAAAAATTGAAACAAACCCGAAACTCTTGTTTCCATCAAGCAAACTAAGTTTTGTTCGAGTTTTGTTTTTGTTTTCGGTCCTTTTCCACTAGTTGTCGTGATTATGTCAGAACACACTTTTTCAGTATCAACCAACATGTTTAGAGAAAAAGATTATCTTATTCTTAGTTGTGGCTGGTTTATACTGCCGTGTTTTATATACTATTTTTTTCAAGCTCTAAATTTCGATATTTTTTTGAAATTTTGTAACCTCATTTTTAGGTTAGGTTTAACTGTCAGACGACAAAATGTCACCATTATTGTTCGGCGGTCAATAATAATTTGACTTTTGAACTAGTAGTCACTACATTATTGTACTAGTTCAAAAGTCAAATTATTATTGACCGCCGAACAATAATGGTGACATTTTGTCGTCTGACAGTTAAACCTAATCTAAAAATGAGGTTACAAAATTTTAAAAAACTACATTTTAGTATTTCTATATAGACTTATGAGGAATATAATATGAATATTATTATACACTTGGAAAAAAATATGTTTCTTACTTACCTACCAATTTAGTATGAAATTCGTATCCAGACTAACAAAATAAAATAAAAGTCGAAAACAAAAAACACAACACGACCGTTTCCACTAAACAGACTCGAGTTTCAAAACACGTCGAAACCTTTTGATGTTACCGCTTCCGAGCGGGACTCGAAAAACAAACTGTCGCAAAACACGCCAGTCTTCAAAAAGTTTGCAAAAAGTTGCAGTTTTGTTTTATTCGACACGAGTTTGTGTTTTGTTTTTGTTTTGTCCGTTTGGTGGAAAACCGGCTTTATGACTATTAAGAATATCCCGGCGCGGTCGCCATTTTTTTAAGTTTTTAGTTTTTAATCTTGATGATTGTTTTTAATAAAAACTTTTTATTTTGCCCAAAATCTTTATGCCAATTCATGTTGTTAATATTAATCATAGTTATATTTATAAATTACAGTTAACGTGTATGTATTTTAGTCCTTTTAACTTTAAAACAACGGTTGTTCAGAAAGTGTCGAAACAAGTTCATTTAACAGAGAATGGTTTTGTTTTAACATTTTGCGATTTATTACTGATAACACAAAATGATTTTTTTAGGGTAATTTGGGTGCACTGATTTCAATACTTTACTATAGGATCATTGGTAATGTAAATATGGGTGCTAATTAAACTAAAACAAATCAATTACATAATATATATATATATATATATTATACACATTGAAGTTTTTTCTTTTAAAAATCATGTTTTTAATAAAATAAATTGTTGTAGCCAAAATTAGACAATTTTAAAAATTCAAAGTGCTGTATCACGAATAATTGTTGAAATGAAATTTACAAAATATTATATACAGTGTGACCCATTTGTTTTCGACTTACCCCAGTAAAATCTTTATTTATTGTGCGATTTTAACTGGATTTGTTTTAAAGCGAAGATCTTGATAAACAGTATTTTTGGAGCAAAAAACACCAGTAAATTTTTAAGAATTTATATTAGCGATTTAAAAAAAAATCTATCCACGGCATTGGATCCACCACCCGTCAAAACGACCATATAATACATTTTATTGAAACATTTAAGTGGGAAAGATTTTGTATCTACATAATTTAAAAATGCATAATAATTACTAATTACAAAATTGATTCTGTCAAGTTATCCATGAAAAAACCGAGGGGTAAACCACTGATTTTTTTAAACTCAAAATCGCTTACGAATTAACGGCTAAGGATAACAATACCAAGGGTAGTCATGCGCAACGCGTCGCACTGATTAAGCAAGTTTTCCTTATTGATAACGACTGATAAGGAAAAAAATCACAACACAACGTCCACTAACATTGAACTTTGGTCTCTAAGATTTTAAAGTGGTTTACCCCTCGAAAAAAACATTGAAATAAAATAAAAACTAATATTAACAAGGTATAAATATTCTTATGCTTAGTTTTAACAAATAAACGCAATATAAACTTAAAACAACAATAAAACAAAAAATAAAGAATTCCAAAAATTCTCTACAATATAATTTTCTTACCTCTACTAATCAACCATTTATTTAAATATACTTTCATATTTGTTCTGGAGTAATGGCTGCGCAGGCTTGTATTACCCCAGCCCGTTTCATAATGTAAATTTACAATCAATTTAGTAGTGTTGCAAGCGTAAGACTACTTAAATAAATTCCTTGAAAATAAATAAATTAAAATATGTATTTATACGAGTTTAAAACAGAAACTAATGACAATGCTTGGCAAAAAAAACTTTAAGGAGTCGTGCAAGCGTCAGGAAACAAAAATTTTGACAAGCACAGTTGTTTTGAGTGCCATTTTGCCAATTTTGGCTAAACGATTTTTTATGAAATAGTATAATTTATTTTTTTAGTTTAATAAGGACCCATACCTACATTATCAATGATTATCGACTAAAGTATTTGATAAGAATTTTCAACGTCTGCATGTCGCAATCTCCTGAACACAAGAGCTAATTGAGCAAAATGATGGGCATTTTTGGAATCGGCGCACCCAAATTAGGCCACCATGTGGCAAAATTGATTTCGACCAGTGTAATTTAATAGCGCACGTCTGCAAATAGTGATTTAACATTCTTTGTTCGGAAATTTGTACCGATATAAATTAAGTAATTGATAATTTTGTTAAAATTAAAGTCCAAGTATTTTTTTATGTATAACTCAAACAATATTGTATTGTAATAATAATTTGTACAATATTAACAAATATTTTTTTTTTACTTCAGGTTCGTTTGAAGGTTCAGAACAGGGACTACGCAGCAAACAAAACGAAAAAAGTCGCTTGGTTCGTATCGAACTGCGGCGCTCGCAACGGCCGTTTGGCGTACGCCCGCGAGCTGGCAAACCACATTCCAGTGGATATTTACGGCACTTGTGGGCCTCTAAAATGCCCACGACATGACAAAAAATGCTTCGAGATTTTAGATCGCGAGTACAAGTTTTATTTGGCGTTTGAAAACTCCAATTGCCGCGACTACATCACCGAGAAGTTCTACGTGAACGGTCTGTCGCAGAACGTGCTGCCCATCGTGATGGGAGGCAGACCGGAGGACTACCAAAAAAGCGCCCCGGAAGGTTCGTATATTCACGTGGACGAGTTCGCGGGGCCCAAAGAACTGGCCGACTACTTGCATCGCTTGGACAAAGATAATGCCCTCTACAATTCTTACTTCAAGTGGAAGGGCACCGGGGAGTTTATTAACACGTACTTCTGGTGCCGATTGTGCGCGATGATGCACGCCCCGGTCACCCATCGCCACTACGAGGACGTAAACGACTGGTGGCGGGGACCCGGCGTTTGCACTTCCAAGTCCTGGAGAAACGCCGAATTCGTCTAGACACGCACATTCATTCGATGGACTTTTAGGAACCTTTTTGTTATTTCATTGTATGTATTGTATATTATTAATAATTTATTAAGTTTTTATTACCATCAGAATTTTATTTAATGCCCTATAAACCTTATCAATCCAGTGACGCTCCTTACCTCGAGGCAAGAGGTCGTGTCTAGTCTTTCGTAAAACGCGATCAAACACACCGCTATCGCTGTTCAAATTCATAAAAACAATCAATATTCTACACGTGATCTACCAGAACCAAGTGCAAAAAGGGTGTAAGTTGCTTGTGGCACCTTCACCTGGATTAAGTGCTCTACCTGTGAAAAACGGTGCGAGGAAGGTGACTGGATACTTTGAATAAGTTTTCCTGGATTACCAACACAGAAACAACGCGTGCTAATACTCCCACCGCGCAGGTCAAAGTTATGCACCTCAAGTTCAAGTCCAACTCTGCATAAACCGGATAAGTAAAATTAACAAAATTGCATGACCTAAATAATACCCAAATACTAAAATTTAATGCGAAATTAAGTAAATAACAAACAACTTCACCAGGTAAAAATTAATTAGTCGCCAACATTTCCCACAAAAACAGCAAGGCAAGGAACTCATTAAGAACGTTAACATAAAGATAAATCAATCAAGTTCAGACAAACACTAAACAAAACAAACTAACCTAAAGAAATAAACATCAGTAAATACAAGATACACTTAAGTGGACCATAAATTAGGTAACCAACCGAAGGTGACGTAATACATCTATGCGTAACCGCACAGTCAGCAAACTGTGATTGGCACGGGGTGGGGTCCCCATACTCATGAAAAACGGCAGTAACCCAAGGCGATTTGAATAATCGCGTGAACTTAATTTATATCTCGACAGAGCAAGCTGGGTACAAATCTTGTGGGTTATTCTTTAGGGTTTTTTCCCCAAGTTAAGTAAAGGTAAAATTAGGAATAATAAAAAAATAACATCTTTACCATCCCAAAATTTGTATGTTCTAAGGTACATAAAAAGTAATCAAATCCCCACAAACCATGGGATTGTGCAAATCCCAAACATGTTTGCTCTAAGATAATATTTACAAGTGAATATACACTATATTTCATAAGTTAGCAAAACCGTCCATCTGATCAAACACCACTTTCAATTCGCTTCCATAACGCAAAGCAACTTTCGTATCATTCATACTACATAGCTAAATCAATCAATATAAATCAAATAAATAGAAATATCGGATTTAGGTAGGCACCACTCCTCAAGCTGACCATAGTCCCCCTTAGGCTTCTGACTTGAGAAGGCACCCCCATTATATTTTTGTTCATTGAAATTTACCACACAGTTCACCACACAAAGAATTGTAAAAAGAATAAGGATATTTGTAAAGAGATTACTATAATAGTGGGCTATGTTCAAAGAGAATAGCCGAATACCGAATAATGCCCGTTTATTAAACACCGTGTGTTTAATAAAATACATCCTAGACTCTTTCATACAACGGCTATGTTTACTTGGCCGAGTGTCGGCTGTGTATAGTTGGCCGAGTGCCGGCCACAACAGCCTGGCAATTCAAAAAAAGCCTTCAGACGTCCTGGATAGGTATATCCTATAGGTTTAACACACTCGACTATAGCTAGCCATTATTCGTTACTGAGCTGATGAGGATGGAGATGGGGACTTCAAACAATTAATGTTCAGCTATGCCATTACAGACGCACACTTCCAACTTAATATTGCAACCCATCGCTATTTATAATTAGCTCGCTTGCGTAAGCAGCCGTGAGATGTATTGCTTATGCTGCGGCAGGCCGAATTCCGGCCGATTTTGGTTAGAACATGGCCAAACGGTACCGGGCTAACATAACGCGGGCCATAAGCGGGACGACTGGGGGCAAGCCGAACCGCCGGTCAACCGCCTATGCCGAGCGAAGGCCGACTGTTTGCCGAGTGCTTGGTGCTTACTGGGCCCGTTTTTTCACATTTCAAGAATCCCTAACTTTGCAATACAAGGCAGAGGCAGAGCCGGACTTTCGCGCGTTCGGTTTTGAAACAGGCCCTGATCGAAATATTCATAACATACTAAACCGTACAACTAAAGTATACAATTCAAGTAGAGTTTTTAAGAAAGGCCAACGCTGTATCATTTTTTAACTTGGAAAAATTGATTTAAATGTCTATTTAACGAATAGGTAAATTTCTTTAAATGCAGATGTATTCTTGGTAGCGTTTTTCTCGTTTGACGGATACCAGTTCTACACAAAACTTGGAACCGGCTCGGACACAGACGAACAGGAAGTACTAAAAGACCAGCAAGGATAGATCCTAGCTACGTACTAATCACCCAATCCCCATTCATGAACCCCAATTGAATGGGGTTATTACTAAACACCTGGTTAAGGGGGACGCCGGATCGTTATTAGTTCAATGCCCCGCAAAAACCAAAATGTTTTCCCTCCTGGTTCCACACTCCACGTCTAAATCGGGTATATGGCCCGGCCCGGCGACAAAATTCCGGGAGTGACCTTAACCATCGACACTAATCCACGACCTCTTAAGAAAGATTTACCTGCCGGGGTGAAAATACGGATCCACCCAACACAGGTAACGCCGTGCAGTGGTGGGATACGTAGAAGAACCGAAAGGGGGAGGAAATAACCCTGGGAGATCACTGTAAGGTGTTGCCAATGGGGTATGCCATAAGTTCTTATACTCATACTCATATAAACCTTATCATTAATTTATTTCTGAATCAATTTCATAAAGTTATGGAACCGTAGAATGGAAATATTGATCCAACAAACTTTAAAGACTTTTAAATGACTAAAACTTTACATACAAGTTTAAAAAGCCTTAAAATTTATTAAATCAATAAGTTATGAAACAGTTAAAATATTCTTTTTAAAGAAATATTGACTTAACAAGCTTTTTAACTCTGTTTAACTTATGCATTATACACTGAAAAGCAAGTTTAAAAAGGCAAGAAAAAATTTCATTCTTATTTGTAAAGTTCTTTATTGGTTAAATATTCCACTGGACTTCTGCAACTCTAACAACATTAACAAAATAAATACCCTAGCTAGGCTAGACGTACTAAACGTAACAGACAATAATTATTGTAAATGATATGGTAAGTATACATGATATCATTTGATATTGATTGATTATGGCAAACAAGCGATTTAATTTTATTATCTTACTGATATGGTTCTTCAACGATGATCGGCTGGCGGAGGTGGCTGATTCACTCTGCCTGGAATATCTTGGTTTAGCTGTGAAGCCGTCACGCTTCTAGTCTGAAGAGTGGAAGTCTGTGGTTCTTCAAGTAGCTGTCTTAAACGCTGCAGCTGTGCTTCTAGCTGCCGGTTATGGTCTTCAAGTATCTGCATTCTAGCTTCGAGTCTGCCTTTGTGCTGTCTCAAGAGTCTAGCTTCAGCTAGCACGTCGTGTTGCGGTTGAACTGGATGAGGTGCAGGTCCTCTTTGAAGTTGTTCGTATTCTTGCCTTAGAGCTGTGTTTTCGGCCTCTAGTTCAGTTATCATTTCTTGCAGTTCTGCTCGTTGTTCTTCGTCGATGACAAGCATTAATTGTCCTGGACTGGCCGGCGCCCCTTCGAGGCTTTGACAATAGTCTGCGATAAGTCGGTGTTCATCTTCAGGTGAATTGGCGCGTAACTCCACCTCTGCCAACCTGCTGGCGTATATTTCCAAACGTGAATGCATGTCGTTATGTTGCGGTGAAGCTATCGGGCTTTCCAGTTCATCGCCCTCAAGTACCGATCTAACCGGCAAGTACCCGACTCTTGGGTGCTTCATAAAGTACCTTTTGCTTTTAAATTTATTCTTTAATGCCCTTGTAAAGTCCCTCATATCTTCCACAGAAGTAGTGGCGGCACAATACTCCTGCATAGGATGTGATAACTTGTGACCTTTAGTCAACTTGCCGGAGAAAAAGCAACTTTGACACATATCGAAGTTAAAGCACTTCAAGCACCTGTACCTCAATCCAACCACTGGATATTGCTTGCAGGAATTACATTTAGCCTGATGCTTGGCATTTTCCGCGGCTGCCAAACGATGCAACACCGGCAACCACACCAAAGATTGCGGTTCCTGTTTGAGCCAAGCTAAAAAGTGAGTGGCCTCCAAATCCTCGCGTTCGCCCAAACAACTGCGCACGCTTGGTTCGATGTTTGACCCTCCGAACGCAGCCACTTCGCCTAACTGTCTAGGAACTTGTAGTATATCGTGCAGAAGAAGACCCAACTTACGTTGATCAGCTTTTTGCTGCGGGTCAGCTATTAAGCGAAATAGATAGCGGTATTTGTCTTCCAAATGCCCTTTTGATAATAGTGTTAATCCAACCTAAAAAAAAATCAGTTAGCAACAATGTTGTACATATATACAAGTCGTCATGTTAAAATAGCAAATCTTTTAATGCATTTTTATGAACGGAAAAAACCTTTTTGTTATACCATACAAAATGTCCGCTTGACAATATTTTAAAATAATAACGGACATGCCTGTGTCGTATAAGAATATTCAAACAAATTTCGCACAGTAGCATAAATTTAAAAATTGGTAGGACAAATTCGCACAATAGTTCAAAATTTAAAAAAATACGACAAATTCGCACAGTAGTTCTTAAAAAAAAGTGGAAAAATTTCTCAAAGAAATATAAATAAACAAAATGGGAGAACAAATTTTCAAAATTACCAAAATTTTTTCAATTTCTTAAGACATCATCTTTGGTTAGCATTTTGTTAAATAGCACTAATAATCAAAAAGATTCAAATCATTTTTAACTTTTAGTAAAATATATACAGGGTGAGTCATTTAACTTGAAACCATGATACTAAATAAGACGGGTAATGTAACGCGCCGTATTAAGCGGCTGAAAAGTGGATCTAAACTTGGGTCACTGTTCGACAGAGAGGTTGAGAGAGAGACACCGCGAGAAAGGGCTATGCGAATCGTTCGGTTCTCTGCGAAATTAAGGAGACGCCGGTAATTTTTATTAATTTATTAAGTATCCGAGACTATTTTATTGGTTAAGACTTGTTTTGTGCCTACGTGTAATGGTGGGTAAAAAAGTTGTTTAGAGAAAGTGTCTCTATTTAGAGTGCCAGAGAATATATTAATTTTTTGGTAAAAGAAAATACCGCGTAAGGACAGACTTCTTTTGAAGAAAGATTTTATTTGTAAAAACATTTTAATAAAAACTTATAATTGGAAAAGTTAAAACTGTTTACTGTAAGTATAAGGTAAAATAGGTAAAATTATTTTATTGGCATTGTAAATAAAAATTATGATACTTCATAATGTATTATCATCATAAAAATTAACATAAACTGCGTTGTCACAATATTTTTAAATTATTTTTTTTTATATTTTGGAAAATTAAAATGATAAAATTATAAATTAAAAAAATTCAGTATCCCTTGAAAATCCCTAGATTGCCTGATGATGTAATGCCCACTATATTCCCAGGATGTCCCATCTATCCCTATAAAGCAGTCAAAAAGCAAAGGAAAATTATTAAACAGCCTCAAGTTGTAAAGTTACTCAGGGTGTCCGTTATTCCTTAAGTCGGCTTATTCACTTGGGTATCATCTAAATTATTTTTTTACAATCTCAAAACAATTTTAGTAAAAAAAAACATTTTTTGATGTCGTTTACCTAAATTATAATTTTAAATTATAAGAAAACATTCATAACTTGCTAATAAATGGGAAAATGCAAAAAAACGTGGACAATTTTAAGCTTTACAAAAATAAGAGTATTATTTTTTTCTGTTTTTCCAAAATTGTGTTAAGACTAAACAAATAAACAAATAAGTTAGGTGATACTACCAAAGGGAAAAAAGCAAACTTGGAAAATACTTCATATATTCCTTCGTATATTTTCTAGCTATATATTTTTGAAAGTCATCAACGTCTTTTTAACGACCTTTTAAATAAATTTATATGTCCTGAATTGCTTTTAAATTTTTTTTCCAAATTATTTTGTGTAAAAATAATATTCATTGAGATAAAAAACTGTGACTTAATTTTAAAATTTTAAGATGTTGTCGAAAAATTGTTTATCTTTGCAAATAATTTTTTCTACCTCAAAGATTATTATTTTGGTCATTAACAAATTAATTTTGAAAAAAGGCGTATATTTGACTAACTCTATTTATTTTTTCGGTTTAAATTTAATAATAATTTGCTTTTTATAATTTGTATTACCTCATGCTAATAAATAAAATTTAGAAATGTTTATCGTTTCACTGTCCCACCCTCTTTTATAAGTTTTGTTGATAAATTAGTATTGATAGGTAATTATACATAAAGTGAATAACTCGTTTTAAATCATTGTTTTACAATAATTTCCTCTTTTATAAGTTTTACTGATATTAATTATGCATTAAGTAATTTATTGAATCCATTTAACTGTTTTTAAGATGATATTATCGAAAAATATTAATGCAGTGCATGTTTCTTTAAAAAAAAATTATTAATAAACGTTCAAATCAAGCTTTTTACTAAAAAGTTATATAGATTTCAGTCGGCCACAAGCCCTTTCTATCGCTATCTCTCTCACCGGCCGCAGTGCCTTGAAACCGGTCCGCTCCATGATACAATCTTTGTATCATGGTCCGCTCCAAGCGGTGCGACGGATTACTAGTTTAGTTTGTTTTAATCAATGCGACCAACTTGACAACTGTATTTACCAACCAAAACCCTAAATTTGCAACGTTGCCGCAGTCCAGATAAAAAATATGAACTTATGCATTTTACAAAAAAAATAAACACAAGACAAACGCACAGTGGGGTAAAATAAACTGCGTGCATCGGTACCTAATTTTAGCAAGTAAACAACGACTGGCAACTATGGCTAAATATTCTCTGTAGTCAGTACATGGAATGAGCAGTCGAAATTTCCATAGTCCGAGTCCGAGAGGTAACACGAACAACCCCTCGTGGACGGCAACACTTCGGTACTAAAGTCAAGAAACGGTTTTCGCACAGTGGGGCAAACAATTTTCAGCATAGTAATTTTTAGCAGAGAAATGGATGTAGACGAACAAAAAGTACCTCAAGAAGCAAGTTAGGCCCCTACAGCGTATTAACCAACCATTCATTTACCCCAATTGAATGTGGGTGATACTAAATCCCTGGTCGAGGGGGATCCCGGATTGTACTTAGTTTTGGATTAGTCCATCGTCCCCTGAAATTCAAAAAGGTTTTCCCCTTCTTGTCCAAAAATCCACTAGCCTAACCGGGCGTATAGCCCGGCGACAAAATACCGGGAGAGGTCTTAACCATCGACACTGACGTCCACGATCTTCCAAGGGAGATATACCAGCCGGGGTTAAACTTTGTATCCATCAAACAAAGGTAATGCTGTGCATTTGCGGGATACGCAGAAGATCGAAAGGGAGTAAAAATAACTCTGATTATTTCCCTCCTTATAATATGAACCAATCAAAACAAAATCCTTGAATTTTCGAATAAATTTCGTTTAAATAAGCGATTAAATCACTAGAACCATTTAACAGCGATTAAATTTTAGCCTCTATATTGGATTTTTGTTTACGATTTTATGGTGTTATTTACAAGTTTTAACAAACATGTTTTAAAAAACAATAAAAAATAAGTTATCTAGTTTACAAAATATCAATTATTACTTATTACATACCTTAAATTAATGGAATTTTCTTTAAAAAAATATTTATAAATTTTGACACATACGTCAGATTTTATGAATTGTCAAATAGTTTCCTTTAATTCGAGAAATAATCTAGACGTATATCACTCAACCTATAAATTTTATGTGTCAAACTATGCTCAGTAAGTTTTTTATTTGATTTTTCTTTTTGGAAAATAGTTTCATGCAAAATAATTAAAAATAAAACCCCTCGACCGCTACGCGGTCTCGTGAATTTATTAAATTTTTTGCATTCAACATTTTCCAACAAAAACCAAACAAAAAACTACTGAGCCTAGTTTAACCGATTAAATTCATAGTTCTCGTGATATAATATATGATAATATCAGTGTATGATGATGTTGATAGAATCAGCTATACGTTCTGTGTCTTTTAAAGATTGGAAAAAATTACCAATTTTTGATGTTTAATAAATATTAACGAATCGAATAACGTAAGAACGTTTTTGGAAAATTTCTATAAAAATACTGCATTATAATTTTTCTAGGTCTAGGTCTATAAATAAAGAAAAGTGATAGTTTTCTATTGAGTAGGAATATATTGATTCACAAGCGTAGCAAGTCAATAAAATGTCCACTAAATAAAAAACTCACTTTTCTCACGCATTAACCACGCTGTTTTTTCGTATTCTTAATGGAAAAGCATTAATAAAATAAAAATCATTATAGATTAGTCGACACTTGTATACTAGGTTCTAACATCTTTCAGAATCTGATGGACAATCTGACATTTTTCAGATAGACATTTTAACCAAACTAGTACTTTTCTTTACGGTTTTTAGGATTTGCCTACTAAATGTATTGCATAAAACTAGTACTTTTATTTGCAAATTTAAGTTGTTTTTCTTAATTATTATGGATTTAATTATTAAAAATGTTAATTTTACTAAAATTAAAGAGCAAATTTAGTCAGATTAATATTTCTGAAATAATTTTTTAAACTGCTCTAATAATAATAATAATAATAAATTTATTTGCCCAACAGAAAAAATTCCAATTACAGGACAAAGAACAAAAAATAAAAACTATAGTAACAGCATAATAGCAAAAATATAAAATAACTTATACATAGTAAAGTAAGTCTATAAACAAAAATTAACTAATTAACGCTTAAAAAAGTACAAATAATAAATGACAATTAAGAATAATTAATATCACACACGTGAGATATTTTATTAAAGTTGGTACACATAACAAACATTGGCGACCGCAAAAGTACATTTGTACGTGCAAAACATTTAAAGGTTGAAACTGACCTAGAATGAATACGCGGAACATGAAAATTCAACCGCTCAAGCAGATCTGGACAGTCAATCTTATTATAGACAAGTTTGTACAAAAATTTAATTGAAAATATATTCCTCCTAACATCTGGTGCTGAAATATTAAATTCCTGCAATAATAGATTGTGATCATATCCCCTCTCTGGATAAGTATTGTGTTTTTTAATATATAATATTTTCAAAAATCGACGTTGAACTCCTTCAAGTGATTTGCAGTGATTCTGATAATAAGGATACCAAATATTTGAACAATATTCAAGTTTAGAACGAACTAAACTGAAATATAGTGACTTTAGTGCAAACATTTTTTTAAAAGATTTACAGTTTCGATAAATAAAACCAAGAACCCTATTAGCAGAGTTACAAATATTTTGAATATGATTTACAAAGCTAAACTTACTATCAAACAGAATTCCTAGATCTTTGACTAAGCTAGAACGGGACAATGAGATATGTTCAATATTATAGTTAAATCTAATTGAATTAAGTTTAAGGGTAAACGAGCAAACTTTACATTTAGATATGTTTAGGCCTAAGGAGTTTTCCTTACACCACAGCTGAATTAAGTTCAGATCTGACTGAAGAAGCTCACAGTCTTTAACATCTCGTACAGTGTGATATAACTTTAAATCGTCAGCGAAAAGTAATTTTTGAGTTTTTAGTGAAGAAACAAGGTCATTGATAAAGAGATTAAATAATAGCGGTCCCAAGTTTGACCCCTGGGGTACTCCCGAGGTAGCTACAAAATATCTTGATTTAAACCCTTGATACGAAACATATAATTTACGATTATTCAAATATGAAGCTATTAATTTAATCAACGAATCTGAAAGTCCAAATGAACCAAGTTTGTTAATCAAAATATTATGTACAATTGTGTCAAAGGCCTTCGAGAAATCCGTGTACACAACATCCACCTGCCCACGATTATCAATAGTATCAGCAATAAACTGTGAGAAAACAGTTAAGTTTGTTAGTGTAGATCTATTACTCATAAAACCATGTTGTTGGGGAGTAATACATAATGACAGCAAAGGGCAGATGCGGCTATATAAACAGATCTCAAAGACCTTCGCAAAATTGGACAATATTGCTATTGGTCTGTAATTAGCAATGTTCGCAGCTTCACCAGATTTAAACACAGGTGTCACACGAGTTAACTTCCAGACACTTGGAAATTCAGAAGTTCTTAATATAAGATTAAATATCTTTAACATTGGCGTTACAAAGGTATGAGAGCAATCCTTAATTAAAAATGCTGGAATTAAGTCATCAGCGGCAGTAAAACCACATTTTAGTTTTCGAAACGCTCCAAGGATATCGTCTTCAGTAAACTCATGTATATGTATACTTTGAATAATATTACAAGTAGTTGAGGAAATGTTATTTTGATCATGAGGCTTTAAGTATACGCTACTGAAATAATTAGAAAATTCATCAACAATTTCCTGTGGCGATTCTAAAAGACTATCGCCAGAAAACATTTTGCCTGGGATACGCGAGCTACTTTTCTTTGAATTTACATATGACCAAAATTTGTTGGGATCAGACTGTAGGCTAGACTCTATCTGATTTAAGTGTACCCGATAACAATAGAGTATATATATATTTTTTTAACAAAATTTCAAATGATGAAATTACTTACCTTAAAACTAAGTACTCTAATCTGGCCTGTGCGCTGGCTATCGTAAACATTAAGCAACCAATTTAAAGCTAAATCCACACATAGGGGAACATCTAAAATAATGATGGTCTGTTGTGCAGCAATGTTTCCATACATCGCTCTAAGTACAAGCACCATATCGGCCACATCCAAAATCTTGTCGTTCTGAGCTCGAAGACCATGCAGATCGAACGCTTCCGACGCTGCGTTAAGCGTGACGAGATCGAGGGAAAGTTTTTTTTGGATGGCGCGCAGCTTCAAAGCCGTGCGGTAAGCGGAGAAGCGGACGTCGTTCAGTTGCAGCAGGCACACGGCCAGCTCGAGCATTTGCGGGTGGTCCCAGTGCGTGGTCTCGGTGCTGTGGTTTATGTAGTACGGGACTTTGTTCGGGGTGGTGGCTCGTTCCCATGGCGGTTGGACGCTCGAGGGACCCGGAGATATTTCCCCTATAACGAAATAAAAACTATCTAAGACATCCTAATTCTAGCAAATAATTCAAATATTTATTATAATAGATGTCAACAGGGTTGGTTGTGTACTGGGAACGATATAAGGTAAATTCTCATATAACTTGTTTCGATGCTGTATCCACTTATTTTTGTGAAAACTAATTCTCGCTCAAGGTTTTTTTAGTGTAATTATTAAATTATTTTATCCGAAATCGGCAGTAAAGTAGAACTTTACTGCCGATTTATTTTAATTTACGATTGTTGACTACTTTACTGCCGATTTCGGATAAAATAATTTTTTGTCAATCTTAAGTCTATTTTTAGTTAATCAAGCACTAACATTAGTTGTTTGAACGCCCATTTTGTTGAAATATTCATCGATGTTAGGATATTGCAGTTGGTGACCGGTAACTTACGTGGCATTTGCAACATAAAGCCTGCATTTTAGGAAAAAATTAATGGATTAGGGTTGTCATAATTTAAGTTCCCATTACCTTGAAATGCTACATGCTTATTACACTAAAAAAAACCTTGAGCGAGAATTAGTTTTCACAAAAATAAGTGGATACAGCATCGGAACAAGTTATATGAGAATTGACCATAAAGGGCAGTTAATTTTTAACATTTGGTACATTAAATTTTAAAGCTTTACGAAATATCAGATTAAATTTTAAATATTTATTTTTAAATTGTATTAAGTGTTAGGTATAAGTTTTACTTTATAATTCGATACACTACTTATTTTGTTTTTTATGCTATAGTAATTTATGATTCTCATCTGGGCGACCACTTGAGGGGTCGTTACAAAAATACCAAATAAGCAAGTTTTGGTACAGTTTCTAGTCTTAAAAATAAACATTAAAAAGAGCGTGTGAAAATCTAGGTAAGACGGTAGATTTTAGACAGTTACGTTTTGCTGTTTGACGAGAATAGTTGAATTCTTTAATAATTATTATTGTTGTAAGGGATTTAATTTAGCTCTTGAATGAAAAAGTTTATTGTTTAAATATAAAATCAGTTTGTGATATAAATAGTGGTGTAATAACTAGGTATGTTTGTTTTATTGTTACTATTATAATCTAAGGTCACAAATGAGGAGTGATTTTTCAAAAGGCCATTTTTACTTGAATGTAATTTTTTGACAAAACCCCAAAGGTATGGTTAAAAGGCATATATTAACGGCAAAATATGACAGCAGGTCTAAAGTATTATTAAATATTCATCAGAATTTTTTTTTAAATAATCTATATTGGCCTAACCTATACAGGTTATAGTCATTTTTTTGAAAAATTGTTGCAAATGGAAATACGACCTTTTGAAAAATCACTCCTCAAATATAATTATTTAATATTTAATTTAAACTATATTTTATTATTATTTCATATTGTTCTTTGTGAAGGAAGAAATGAGCTGGACTTTGTATTTTATGGTTGTGGTTGGACAAAACAAATAACATATTTATTATAATTATTATTTTATGTTTATAATTATTATATTTATATTTTACTTTGAGATTGTATATTAAATCTGTGGGTAAAAGGCATAAGGGGATAAGTCAAAACAATCAATTTTTTAGTAGTGCCTTAAACGTGTTCGCATTAATTTAGGAAATACATTTATGGTTAGCGGGTATATCCTTTTGCCAGCACATGTCATATGCTAGCAAAAGGGTATACTCGCTAACCATAAATATATTTCCTGAATTAATGCGAACACGTTTAAGTCTCTACTGAAAAATTGCTTTTTTTGACTTATCCCCTTATGCCTTTTACCCACAGAAATTGTAATGTAATGTACCATTTTATTACATATTTCTAACTTTAGATACTTTATTTTGTACAGTTTATCTTATTTTATTTATTTGATAAATTGATATTCTTTATTTAATATGTTGAGACCTTGTTTCAATTTCTGCACAACATACTTGTTAAAATGTGTTTAACGGTTTTGATATGGTCGAAGGGGTTGAGCCCCGGATTACCAATAATTATCAATCAACCCATTTTTACAATGAATGTTAGGTAGGGCCCATGATGTGAGTTTTTGTGACTTATTTTATTATTATTGATAATCATTTTATTTTGCTATATTTTATTTTATTACTTTATTATACCTGATTGTATTTGTTATTTATGACTGTGCAATTAAATTGCATTAACGTTGCCTACTACTGTACCACTTGTTAAGTATATATTTTATTTATCACTACCATTTATTATTGTTGTTTGCGCCCTAAGTTATATTATACTTTATGTTTCACACTGTTGTTGTTTGGTGCTGTACATTGTTAATTGCTTTTCTACATCGTCCGAGCCTATTATTTATGTAGGTGAATATCTTATCAATATGGTAATATAATTGATTATATTCATATTGATTCTTTATTTTGTTGTATTATTTATATTGTTGAGATGTGCGACTAGGGTGTCCGTTATTTACCAAGTTGGCTATTTTCACTTGGATATCTTCAAAATCGTTTGTTTATGACCTGAAAACAATTCTAAAAAAAAAAAATTTTATCATGCCGTCTAACCCTGCCTAAAAGACGATACTTTTCCCATTTAAATAACATGGGGATTTTGCACTTTTTAGTAAATAATTTTTATCTGGCTGTTCATACTCTTCAACTTACCAAAAATGCTTGATTTTGTTTCTATTACGATCCCTTCAGATGGAGAAATTTTTGTATTGGCGAAAAAAATTTATTACAATAGTTTTAAAAAGGTTAAAATTCATTTTTATTGGTTTTTCTGATTATTTTGCTTAATCTACTCACTAATTAATATTTATTCTGTATTTCATGTAAAATATTTCATTTTAAACTCTCAATAACTATACAGAGCATAAATATAAGTTTTAAGACACAAATCATCATTTATTTTATTTTAAATATTGTTTTTAAGATAAAAAAAATATAAAAATTTTAATTTTTTTTAGAATTATTTTTTAGCTGACAATTAGTATTTTATCTGAGTACTTTAAATTAAATAATTATAAGTTGAATATAGGTTAATCATTGAACTTTTAGTTTTTTCGTCAGACATTCTTTAGTTGCACTTGGAAATTCATTTTTATACTCTTTTATTACTTGAAGAAGATACTGTTTTTGATTCTCATCTTTAGCTAACACATTAATGTATTCTTGAGTCAATTGTACAGCTCTCTCGGCTATATCATTTGTAACTTTTATATTCTTAGCAATTTCCAATCCTTTCAAATAATCATCATTTTCATGCCACGCCTGCACTTCAAGTTCTAAAAAGCTCTCATTGATATTAAACCTTTTAAAAAAGTTTAGAGTACGAGAATTTACAAAGTAATCAATTTCTTTAGTTTGTAAATTTTTAATATCATTATCATTGTTGATAAAATATTTTTTGGGACAACCAAATTCATAAGCCGTATCCAAGTTCAATGCTTTGACAATTCTGCGTTTGATGTGAACTGATATATTGTTATCGAAAAATGAAAGTGCCACCACTTCTGGGCTCAAGTACCATAAATGGTTTTTCATTTTTTTTAAGACAGCTTCAGATAAACATTTATCAATAGTTTTATAGGCATAAACTGCTTTTAAAAATTGCAAATCTTGATTTGGAGCGACTATAGCAAGCGGTGCTGTATACCAGAATCTCACATATATAAATACCACGAATAAACAAACGTCCAATAAACTTCTTTCCTCACATCAAACGCAGAATGGTCAAAGCAGTGAGCTTGGGCTTATGAATTTGGTTGTCCCAAAAAATATTTTATCAACAATGATAATGATATTAAAAATTTACAAACTAAAGAAATTGATTACTTTGTAAATTCTCGTACTCTGAACTTTTTTAAAAGGTTTAATATCAATGAGAGCTTTTTAGAACTTGAAGTGCAGGCGTGACATGAAAATGATGATTATTTGAAAGGATTGGAAATTGCTAAGAATATAAAAGTTACAAATGATATAGCCGAGAGAGCTGTACAATTGACTCAAGAATACATTAATGTGTTAGCTAAAGATGAGAATCAAAAACAGTATCTTCTTCAAGTAATAAAAGAGTATAAAAATGAATTTCCAAGTGCAACTAAAGAATGTCTGACGAAAAAACTAAAATTTCAATGATTAACCTATATTCGACTTATAATTATTTAATTTAAAGTACTCAGATAAAATACTAATTGTCAGCCAAAAAATAATTCTAAAAAAAATTAAAATTTTTATATTTTTTTTATCTTAAAAACAATATTTAAAATAAAATAAATGATGATTTGTGTCTTAAAACTTATATTTATGCTCTGTATAGTTATTGAGAGTTTAAAATGAAATATTTTACATGAAATACAGAATAAATATTAATTAGTGAGTAGATTAAGCAAAATAATCAGAAAAACCAATAAAAATGAATTTTAACCTTTTCAAAACTATTGTAATAAATTTTTTTCGCCAATACAAAAATTTCTCCATCTGAAGGGATCGTAATAGAAACAAAATCAAGCATTTTTGGTAAGTTGAAGAGTATGAACAGCCAGATAAAAATTATTTACTAAAAAGTGCAAAATCCCCATGTTATTTAAATGGGAAAAGTATCGTCTTTTAGGCAGGGTTAGACGGCATGATAATTTTTTTTTTTTTAGAATTGTTTTTAGGTCATAAACAAACGATTTTGACGATACCCAAGTGAATATAGCCAACTTGGTAAATAACGGACACCCTAATGTGCGACACATATGCATCATGCATGACATGATGTCTGGGTTGTATATGTGGGTTTTTAAGGTTTTACCCTATTAACTTAAATCGATGATACTTTTCAAATATATTTTTTTTATATTATTATTGTATAGGAGGATTATTTTAAAAATAAATAACAGCAAAGAAACAAGAATTTTATACAAAATATTGATTTAGTAGCTCGTACAAACTTATTGATTTAGTTGCTCTTTTTGTAAAAAATTTATTTTAAAAATAAATAACAGCAAAGAAACAAGAATTTTATACAAAATATTGATTT